CTGGTTCTGGGAGTCTAGCTAGATGTAGGAGGATCTCCCATAGTATTTCTGAGTCAGTCAGGCTTTACTAGCGTAGCAATCCGTGGAGCTATAGCTTAGCTGTTCTGGGAGTCTAGCTAGGTGTTGGAGAATCTGCCATAGAGATTTCGGTCAGGCTTTACTAGCGTAGCAATCCGCTACAATGCAATCCGGTCAGGCTTTACTAAGGTAGCAATCCGTTACAATTCTCAACCGGTCTGGCTTTACTAAGGTAGCAATCCGCTACAAGTCTTTAACCAAGTCAGGCTTTAATAAAGTAGCAATCCGCTACAAGCCCTTGTGAATGCCAACAGGCTGGAAATGTTAAGGAAAATAAATTTTCTTTATTAACGGTACTTTGGATATTGTAAGAATTGGATTATTGTTACATGCACATTACGGGAGTGATAGGTTTCGGGGCTTTGCTAAATCCCGAATCTACCTCACCTCTGGCATGTCAAATGTGAAAGGTATTTTGGCTTCAAAGAATTTCCAAATATTGAAGTGAAGTAATAAGGCCGCCTATTTCTAATTAAAAGTTTCTGGTTAATGGGCAGAGAGTATTGTTGACTATTGGAATAAGAACTGCCTATTTAGTAAATGCTGTGCTACCCACGTTCAGAAATTAAACAATGCCGAATGTTTGAAACCTTGACGTTGTCATCAGCTTCTTCTTCTTGATTCCTCCCATCCCCATCTCCTCCCCTCCTCCACCAACACACCACCTTAGACTTATTCCTACTCGATGTTATTGGCTTCAACAATAATTTTTGTCCAAGTATTAATGCAAGTAATTAGAATAAAAATAAAAATATCAATGGTTTTTCCTATATTTAATTTCATTACAAATGAATGAAAGTTTAGGCTATGCATTATAGGTACAATACTGAAAAACGCGCAATCTTCTCAATGGCCTTAGTAAATTCATGAACTTCATTATTTGTAATTAAATTTTATTTAAAAATGCGATTACCCGAGACTTACCGTTTCGTGCCGAGCCACAGCCTGTACCTCTCACTATTAATGACAGGCTGCCGATTCATTTGAAATTCCTCATCCTCACCTTCGTAAATCCTTTGAATCATCTCACGAACGTAGTCGAAAAAGAAGGATCGATTTATAAATCCCATTCGATTTGCATTGCGGCATAAATCGATATCTAGGGAGAGGTAAATTAAATCTTCATTTCTGTTTCATATTGATATTTTCTTGCATTTGCACCCAATTTTTTTTAAAATTGTTTTGCTTTCAAAATGCACATTTATTTCATATTAATCAGGAGTACAGTAAAACACTTGAGGACTTTATAAACTTACTCTAATAGTTACAATTTTGTATCAATCTGCTTACAACAAGCGTTAGACTCGTATGTATTTGATAACTAACTGACGTTTAAAATCGATTTCAGTATATTTTTTAAGTATTGCTCTCTCAATCATTGTTTAAGATATTTAATTTTGCTTGTCACTTGAGTGAAATCGATTTTAGAAATTTCTCTCACTTAAGATGAAAAGCTCATACCTTCAATTTCCACGCAAGAGTTAGTAAAACGCGGTGGATATGCTGCCGTTGCCAATTCCCTTTCAAAGGTTCCAGGTTTGGAATTACTTCTTAAATTCCAGAGGAACTGTAGCGCTTCTTTAAAGAAGGGGACCATTCTAGACGGTACATTCACAATAAGGCCAATAATTTGATCCGCTGGCTAAATCGAAATATGCAAAAGTAGAAACGTAAATCATCATTGCTCAATCGCTAAAATTTCTTTAGGTTACATTCAGCATATTGGCGTGTGCGATAAACTTACCTCCATGTGGTGCACCCTGGGCAACGTATACTCATACGGAAAAAAATTCTATTAACCGGCATTTGACTTCAGACTTCAAACTACCACGACCCCCCTGGTTGTCATATTCGACCCCTTCACAGTACTCACCTTACCTTTTTCTCTACCTTTGTGTCTGTCTGCCTCCTTTGCATTTGTGAATCGCTCTTCTGTTCCCCACCCCTCGACTTTCTGCTACTTTGATGAACCTTCCCTCTGTGAAGCCCGAAGTCAGCTAAGGGGCTAATGATATCTATCAAAACGTCTGCCGTTTGAAATAAATAAATAAATACATTCAGCATATCCATCAGAAGTATTAAAGATAACGTCACTCACTTTCTAAGAGACCTGGCAAATCAACTACGATAGTTTGGTGAAGGAAATTCACTTAACCCTTTAACGCCCCAAAAGGACCATACGCGGCCCTCATTCAAAATNGTCACTCTACCTTTGTGTCTGTCTCTTTGACATCTTTGAAATACTCTTCTGTTCCCCCCTCTCCCCTTTTCGCCACTTTGATATTCCTTCCCTCTGTAAAGCCTGAAGTCAACTAAAGGNCAATAATTTGATCCGCTGGCTAAATCGAAATATGCAAAAGTAGAAACGTAAATCATCATTGCTCAATCGCTAAAATTTCTTTAGGTTACATTCAGCATATTGGCGTGTGCGATAAACTTACCTCCATGTGGTGCACCCTGGGCAACGTATACTCATACGGAAAAAAATTCTATTAACCGGCATTTGACTTCAGACTTCAAACTACCACGACCCCCCTGGTTGTCATATTCGACCCCTTCACAGTACTCACCTTACCTTTTTCTCTACCTTTGTGTCTGTCTGCCTCCTTTGCATTTGTGAATCGCTCTTCTGTTCCCCACCCCTCGACTTTCTGCTACTTTGATGAACCTTCCCTCTGTGAAGCCCGAAGTCAGCTAAGGGGCTAATGATATCTATCAAAACGTCTGCCGTTTGAAATAAATAAATAAATACATTCAGCATATCCATCAGAAGTATTAAAGATAACGTCACTCACTTTCTAAGAGACCTGGCAAATCAACTACGATAGTTTGGTGAAGGAAATTCACTTAACCCTTTAACGCCCCAAAAGGACCATACGCGGCCCTCATTCAAAATAAGCTCAGTTGGTACTAGACTCCTAGCAGAAGGGGCTATTGCCATTTTAAATACGATCAATACGTCTATTGGCTTCGACAGATACGACCAAAACTCATTACGTCGGTGGCATCAGTCTATTGCTGTGAGACACGTGTGAGTGTGTTTGGGTGCATTTTTCAAAAAAATAAATCGGGCTTTAAAGAGTTAAAGTAATATTTAGGGACATAGGGTGTGTCATAGACTTACCTCCACGCGGTGCACCCTGGGCAACGTATACTCATGCGGCAAAAAAGTCTACAAACCGGCAGTTGACTTCTGACTTCGAACTCCCATCACTTTAACTGGCAGTTGACTTCTGACTTCAAACCACCATGACCTCACTACTATTCGGCAGCTGACTTCCGACTTCAAAACACCATCACCTCACTGTATGTCTCGACTTCTCACTTCAAACTACCATCACCCCACTGTATGTCAAATTCGACCCCTTCCACAGTACTCACCTCACCTTTGCTCTACTGTCGACTTCTTCCACAGTACTAACCTCACCTTTTTTCTACCTATTTCTCACTTCAAACTACCATCACCCCACTGTATGTCATATACCTCTGACTTCAAACTACCATCACCCCACTGTATGTCATATTTCACCACTTCCACAGTACTCACCTCGCCTTTTTTCTACCTTCAGTTGACTCTGACCCCACTGTATGTCATATTCGACTAAGGCAGTTGACTTCTCACTTCAAACTACCATCACCTCACTTATGTCATATTCGACCCCTTTCACAGTAATCATCTTACCTTACTGTGTCATATTCGACTACTTCCACAGTACTCACCTCACCTACAGTTGACTTCTCACTTCAAACTACCATGACCCCACTGTACGGTAGTTGACTTCTGACTTCAAAGACAAAAAAGTCTATTGATCGGCAGTTGACTTCTGACTTGCAAAAAGTCTATTGATCGGCAGTTGACTTCTGACTTCAAACTACCATCACCCCACTCTATATCATATTCGACTATTTTTACAGTACTCACCTCACCTTTGTCCATATTCGACCATTTCACAGTACTCACCTCACCTTTTTTCTTAAATTCGACCACTTCAACAGTACTCATCTTACCTTTTCTCTTCGACTTCTCACTTCAAACTACCATCACCCCACTGTATGTCAAATTCGACCCCTTCCACAGTACTCACCTCACCTTTGCTCTACTGTCGACTTCTTCCACAGTACTAACCTCACCTTTTTTCTACCTATTTCTCACTTCAAACTACCATCACCCCACTGTATGTCATATACCTCTGACTTCAAACTACCATCACCCCACTGTATGTCATATTTCACCACTTCCACAGTACTCACCTCGCCTTTTTTCTACCTTCAGTTGACTCTGACCCCACTGTATGTCATATTCGACTAAGGCAGTTGACTTCTCACTTCAAACTACCATCACCTCACTTATGTCATATTCGACCCCTTTCACAGTAATCATCTTACCTTACTGTGTCATATTCGACTACTTCCACAGTACTCACCTCACCTGTTCGACCCCTTCACAGTACTCATCTAGCCTTTTCTCTACCTTTGTGTCTGTCTGCCTCTTTTACATCACCCTTTTCTCTACCTTTGTGTCTGTCTATTACATCTGGGCCACTCTTCTGTTCCCCCTCTCGACATTTTGTGACTTTGCCTGTTCCTCCTCTCTGTGAAGTCAAATCGCTCTTCTGTTACCCCTCTCGATTTTTTGCCACTTTGATGTTCATTTTCCTTTCCCACCCCTTGACTTTCTTCTACTTTGATGGACCTTCCCTCTTCTACCCCTCGACTTTCTGCTACTTTGATGCACCTTCCCTCAACCCTTGGACTTTCTGCTACTTTGATGAACCTTCCTTCTGTGAAGGCCCCTCGGCTTTCTGCTACTTTGATGAACCTTCCCACTGTAAACCCTTCTTTTACATCTGTGAATCGCTCTTCTGTTCCCCACCCCTCATCTTACATCTGTGAATTGGGGTGTGCGATAGACTAACCTCCACGTGGTGCACCCTGGGCAACGTATACTCATGCGGCAAAAAAGTCTACTATTCGGCAGCTGACTTCCGACTACTCAAACGGCAAAAAAGTCTATAAACCGGCAGTTGACTTCTGACTGAAAATCAAAAAGTCTATTAATCGGCAGTTGACTTCTGACAACACAGTACTCACCTCACCTTTGTTCTACCTTTGTGTCTGTTTAAACTACCATGACCCCACTGTATGTCATATTCGACCCCTTTCACAGTACACACCTCACCTTTTTTCTACCATTGTCTCTCTACAGTATTCACCTCACCTTTGTTCTATCTTTGTGTTTGTCTCTTCCAGTACTCACCTCACCTTTTTTCTACCATTGTCTCTCTTACAGTACTCACCTCACCTTTTCTCTACCTTTGTGTTTGTCTGCCTCTTTTACATCTGGGCCACTCTTCTGTTCCCCCTCTCGACATTTTGTGACTTTGCCTGTTCCTCCTCTCTGTGAAGTCCCTCTGCCTTTGTGTCTGTCTGTCTCTTTTACATCTGTGAATCATTATTCTGTTCCCCCTCCTGACTTTTTGCCACTTTGGTGTTCCTCATCCTTTCTGTGAAGGATTTTTGCCACTTTGATGTTCATCTTCCTTTCTGTGAAGCACCAGTTGGATGTTCATCTTCCTTTCTGTGAAGCCTGAAGTTGCCACTTTGATATTCCTTCCCTCTGTAAAGCCTGAAGTCAACTAAAGGGCTTATGATAACTATCAAAATGCCTGCCATTTGATATAAATAAATGATTGGAGGTATACATTTGCGGAATCAGCTTTCATGGTGTCTTTAAGTGAATAAGCTTCATCGATTACCACGACTTTACACCATTGATTCGAGGTCAGATGGTAAGATTACCAGCTTATTGTTTTTTCCAAAACAGTTTCAGTCGGTAATTTTGGAAGAATATTATGCAACAAGTTTTGAACAAGCAACTTCCATTTTTGCACTATTTTGAATAAACCAAACGGTTAATTTCATGATTAAAAATGAGTGGTGGTTCTTCAAAATTTCAAGCGACCTAAACAGAAAATGACATTTGATATCCCAAGCAGTTATCCACTTCTCACATTCCTGATTGTCGGTAAAGATACCACATGGTCACAATTCACGGAACATATCGCACATTGCGGAGTTAATTTACTTAATTGAAGTCGTCAACTCCCGAGCCATTTAAAATGAAACAGCTGGTCAAAGAGGTGGATGTTATTTTTGCCTTCAATCTCACAGATTCTGGCCGTGGTCACCTTCAAGGATTCCCCTCAAGTGGCCTCCCCTGCACCTAAGATAGAGGGAGAGAGGAGGAGGAGGAGGAGGAGGAGGTGGAGGTGGAGGTGGAGTAGGGAATGAGCGACGTCTGGGTATCACTTTCTACGATCAGTTCATTAGTTGGCGCTAGATAAACACGCACAGTTTCATTGGACTCTGAATAAATAATGAAACACGATGTACCGCCTAAAAGGGAGCAGGCAAATACCCCCCCCCCGCCGTGATGCTTACCCATTAACTCACTAGTTAATTATGATCCACACAGAAACAAAATAACGATTGTTCTGGGAAACAAGCGGTAATGTTCGCTTTAAAGAACAGGCATGAAATGATTTGTTAATAGAGCACCAATTCATTTTGTAAATGAATTATAATTTTTGTGATAATAAGAACACCACTCTTTCCAGTTTTAGTCATAGAAACTGCGTGATAACCAGCAAGAAAATCAAAAAAATGTGGTAGCTTAGGAGGGGTGGGGGTGGGGGTGGGGAGAGGGGTGGAGGTGTAGAAGAGCAAGAGTTCTACCTTAATTCCTTGGGTATTTAAAGTGATGTCAATGCGTAACGCTCTAGGGTATTAGCTCAGGGGGTTCGTGGAGGCAATAATTTGCTCCCTGTAAGTGGGACTTATTGTAGTTTGATTTAATTCAGCAGTAATTCTTGGCATCCTGATTTACCTCTATTGGGGTGGAGCAAGTGCCAGAGCGCTGACATTGGCAGGTAACTTTTAAACGTTATCAGAGATCAATAAAGTACCATAAACAGTCATAACTTGGAGAAATTTTATTTTGCCGCGCTGAAAAAAATTAAGCCCAACTAAAAAAGCGATGAGCATTCGAAGAATACGAGATTTATCACTTTCTTTGTCAATTGTTGTTTATTTGCGAGCATAATTTTAAAACCTCGAAGCTAAATAAAAAATTCTCTAGTGTATTAATTAAAAATGCATAATCATTCATCTATTTATGACAAATGGTTCAAATTTTTAGAAATTAATTTGTTTTCGTGTTCGGATGAAAAATGAAAACGAAATCTAAGAGATAAGAATCCTTGCCCAAATTTCATCAACCCACCCCCCACCCCCC